CTTTTTTGAACTAATGACAAATTTGTTTTTATTAGGAATTAAGACTTTTTCGGCCATTTCAAGCGCGCGAAACGCACGAATTACAAAACTGTTTTTATAAAAAAAATTGTACATTATTTATTAAATAATTATTTTGGCATCAAAATTGTCAAAAATATTTTTCTTTTATTAGGTTATACATTAAAATAAAAAAAAAACGCAAGAAATATTTTATAAAAGTAGATAGTAGTTATAGTATAGTATATTTCGATAAATGATCATATGTTACAATAGAAACTTAACTTATTATACAGTGTACCCTAAAGGTGTAGATCGTGTCAATAAATTAATTCAAAATAAAAGCATAAGTATACACAATTAAAATTCTAGAAAAGGATAAAACTACAGTTAGAATAAGACATTAAAATATTAAAAACAATACATTAAAATATTTAAAACCATACATTAAAAATATTAAAACAATACATCAAGTGCTGGAAAGTATAATAACATTCTAGATCATGGGAAATCTTTCTCCTCCAAAAATTCATTAATACTATAGTAACATTTTTTTGACTAGAAACTTGTTTAGTTTTGCTTTTTGTTGGTTGATCTTTAATGTTTTGAAAAATGTGGGTAGTATATTCCAGATTTTGACTATCATATATAATATGTTTTTTTGCAAGTAAGAGAAATTTGCTCGATCAGGATATAGCAGATCCTTGTTTCTAGTATTATATATATGATCATGTTGAAGATCTGTTAAGGTGGAGCTATTTTTTATTGCAAACATTATACATTCATAGACATAAAGACTGTGTAAAGTAAGGATGCTTTTGTTCAATCGCGAATTAGATTATGGAATAATGTTCTGGGGAAACTCCGTAAACAGTGGAAGAATCTTCACATTACAAAAAAGGTGCCTAAGAACCATATTTAAAATGGAACCACTAGATTCGTGCAGGGAGGCATTTGTGAATAATAATATCGATATTATTATTCACAAATGCCTCCCTGCACGAATCTAGTTGGTTTCCATTTTAAAATATGGTTCTTAGGCACCTTTTTTGTAATGTGAAGATTCTTCCACTGTTTACGGAGTTTCCCCAGAACATTATTCCATATCTAATTCGCGATTGAACAAAAGCATGATATGCATGCTGACAGAGCTTGCAGAGATGCTAATATTATTGGTAATTATGGATAGCGGCGTAACAATATCTTGCGACATCTGCTGCCAGGAGATTCACATATAATTATAATAATTTAAAGGTGTGGACGGGACAAAAAAAGATTTATCTTGTCCCGTCCAGCCCTGTCAATTATTGAAAATTATCTCTACTTTTATAAAATATTTCTTGCGATTTTTTTTATTTAATGTATAGCCTAATAATAGAAGAATATATTAGACAATTTTGATGCAAAAATAATATACCTATTATACCCTAATATACCCTTATATATAATAAATTACCTACAATTTTATTATAAAAACAGTTTTGTGATTTGTCCCGTCCATCCGCTTGAAATGGCCGTTTTTTTATCTATTGATACTATAGGGGCAACATTTTTGAACAGCTTTTTGTAATTTTATACAGGGCTCTTTTCAGAGCCAGGTCAGTGGCGGCTGGTGGATTTTGGGTATACCAATATTTCAGTTATTAGACTTGGGACCCACCCAAATTTAAATTGAAGTTTGCGAAAAAAAGTTAATTTCCCTGTCGCCTCACCCGCCTCCAGGCCCCCCTATTTAAGATAATTCAAATTAATTAATTTAATTAAAGTGGTGCAGGTTATAATCTACTATAATTTATACACAAATTTAAAATTTTATTTAAAAATCCAAATATAACAGGTTTTATACCATTTTAAATATTTTTTTATTTTAATAAATTAAATAATAAAAATTTTAAAATCGAATAAAATCTGTAATTATTGAATTTACAAATAAAATTTTAAATTTGTCGATAAATTATAGTAGATAATAAATTGCACAACTTTAATTTGAGTTATCTTAAATAGGGGGGCCTGGAGGCAGGTGAGGCGACAGGAAAAACTAACTTTTTTCGCAAACTTCAATTTAAAATTCTGTTTGCGCCAAACTTGTCTATTTAATGTCATTATAATTATTATAAATTTGGTGTGGGTCCCATCAAATATAATACATATTATCTTTGGGTCCCCATGTCTAATAACTAAAATATTGGTAGGTATACTCAAAATCCACCAGCCGCCACTGGAGCCAGTTTGCTATTTATTGGTTTAAAAATCGGTTCTTTTCAGGGACCAAAATTTAATTACTAAAAAAAGATGAAGCTTTTAATGTAATTTTCAAAATTACTGAACAGGGGATTAATTACATCACACGTTTATTTATGCTTATAAATGAAAAGGCTTTGTTTGGCCTGTTTTGGTAGCTAAACTTGAGATATTTCTTAAATTTCACTTTAAACACATTTTTCTTGCTTAAAATATGTCAAACAATGCCTATACTTGGGGTATCACAACTTTTTTCTTGTTTATTTATGCTTGTAAATGTAAGAAAAGCCCCCCTGGCCGGTTTTGGTAGCTGAACTTGAGATATTTCCTTAAATTTCACTTTAACCACATTTTCTTGCTTAAAATATGTCAAACAATGCCTATACTTGGGGTATCACACTTTTTTCTTGCTTATTTATGCTTGTAAATGGAAGAAAAGCCCCCTGGCCTGCTTTGGTAGATGAACATAACCTAAAATATTACTTGAATTTCACTTAAAAACACATTTTATTTCTTAAAGTATGCTGAAAAATGTCAAACAATGCATTTACTTGGGGTTTCACACTTTTTTCCTTGCTTATTTTTGCTTGTAAATGGAAGAAAAGCCCCCTGGCCTGTTTTGGTAGCTGAACCGAAGATATTAAAAATATTACTTGAATTTCGCTAAAAACACATTTTCTTTTTTAAAATATACTTGAAAAATGTCCGCACAATGCGTTTACTTTGGGGTATCACACTTTTTTCTTCCTTATTTATGCTTGTAAATGGAAGAAAAAGCCCCCTGGCCTGTTTTGGGTAGCTGAACTTGAGATATTTCTTAAATTTCACTTAATACACATTTTCTTGCTTGAAATATGTCAAACAATGGCTATACTTGGGGTATCACACATTTTTCTTGCTTATTTATACTTGTAAATGAAAGAAAAGCCCCCTGGCCTGCTTTGGTAGCTGAACCAAAGATATTAGAAAATATTACTTGAATTTGACTTAAAAACACATTTTCTTTCATAAAATATACTTGGAAAAATGTCAAACAATGCATTTACTTGAGGTATCACACTTTTTTTCTTGTATATTTATGCTTATAAATGAAAGAAAAGCCCCCCTGGCCTGTTTTGGTAGCTGAACTGAAGATATTAAAAATATTACTTGAATTTTACTTTTTCTTTCTTAAAATATACTTGAAAAATGTCAAACAATGCATTTACTTGAGGTATCACACTTTTTTCTTGTTTATTTATGCTTGTAAATGGAAGAAAAAGCCCCTGGCCTGTTTTGGTAGCTGAACTAGAGATATTTCTTAAATTTCACTTTAAACCTTTTCTTGCTTGAAATATGGTCAAACAATGCCTATACTTGGGGGTATCACACTTTTTTCTTGCTTAATTATGCTTGTAAATGGAAGAAAAGCCCCCTGGCCTGTTTTGGTAGCTGAACCGAAGATATTAAAAATATGACTTGAATTTCACTTAAAACACATTTTCTTTCTTAAAATTTGCTTGAAAAATGTCGCACAATGCGTTTACTATGGGGTTATCACACTTTTTTCTTACTTATTTATGCTTGTAAAAGTAGAAAAATCCCTTGGCCTGTTTTGGAGGTTAAACATTTGTTGTTACTGTTTTTCAGGATTAGTTGTGGTTTATTACCTAAATTATAACTATTAAAATTACACTTAGGACGCTTTTTCGTCTTTAAAATATGTAAAACAATGCTTAAACTTGCTTTATAACCCATTTTAACCTATTAAATTTGAAATAAAATGACATTTCAAATGCGCATGCGTGGTCGGTTTTGGTAGCTGGCCTGCTTTGGTAGCTAACATTACGCCAATGTTGTAAGAATATATATACAATAATGTATTAGAATTTCGTCGTTTTTACGATAAAATTATTGTATTAAGACGCATTAAACAATAAAAATGTTCTTTTTGCAGCTCTAGACGATAGTTATAAAACAATTCAGTTCTTTAAGGGATTTATTTTGCTAGTTGGGATATTATCAGGCATCCTTGAATAGGTATATTTAGTTAATAATATTTACTCAGTAACTCTATATATTAAACTCTCTATAATATTAAACTAACCAATAATAAAAGAAATACTTACGTGTAAATACTAGACCACTTTGTGCTCACCACAGCTGACCGGCGAGAAACGCATGTAAAACAGTGGAAAAATAAAATAATCAGAAGCAGTCACAAATAAGAACCTACTTGAACCAATACTTGTGAATCACAATCGTCAAAATTTTAGGGGTTCGCAAAGAGAACGCTTCAGAACTGTCATAATACGCATAACTAAATGCGCATATCTGTTTAGAGTTAGGCGCATGTTTCCAAGTTCTGAATCTTTCCTGCGTAAACCCGCTGTCAATTGTTAAATAAGCGCGATATTTAAAATTCATCAAAAGGTTCCGTTAGAAGTTTTACATTTATGTTGTGATGGTAGGCCAATAATATCAAGTAATTAGTAACTTATGATATTTTTAATTAATCATTCATTATTATTCAATTTTTAGTATAAGTAAGAGGAAATAAGTATTTTAATGTTTTGGGGCAAGTATCGGCCGGGCCCCCTACGAGGTTAGGGCCCCCCGCTTGGCGGGCGTTCGCGGTACTGTCGCTACGCCACTGTTAACCACTACTCTAAGTATGTGCTGTTAACTCATTCGGTTAACTTAAAAATCAAGTGACATTTAATTTTATGCAACCCAGTTAACAATGTTAATCAAGAGACATGTTGATGTCACGCAACCCAGATTACAAACGGTTGAACATTTGTTTTGTGAGGTTATGTAACCACTTGTTGAAATGGATCCCGACGAAGTTGAGTTTTTGGGCGAAAAACAATACATTTCCATCATTCCTACGTTTAGTAGTAATGTAATACATTTAATTTCGGGTGATGTGGGTCCTTTTAGACCCTCCATACCTATAAGAGTGCCGTTTTGGATGGCTATGCAGTTGAAACAGCAAAGAATTTGTAAAATCGAACCTCCCGAATGGATGGAGGTTGATAAATTGGAGGCTATTAAAGAGGATGAGAAGAATTCAAGGTATGTACAGAAAAAATAATAATAAAACAAATATAACATCACCTTTTAAGGACTTTTACAAAAATGCCTAGCGATCATTACATGGTAGAGGCTAAAATCTTGCTAGCCTCAGCCACAGATGATATACCAAGGGCTGATGAAATAAGAACCATAATTAAAGATATTTGGGATGTAAGAATGTCAAAATTGAGATCCTCGGTGGATGTTTTGGTTAAAAATAATGGGTCTTATGCTGCTGTCGATAATTTAACTTTGATGGAGATTAATTCTATAAGGCCACTTTTGCCACATGCCTTGGATACCTTATATAGGCTTAAAAATGTTAGTATTACAATTGATTTTTTAGTATTGGGTATTTACTGGTTACAAAATATTTAAAATTATTGCAAGTGAACAATTTTTGAATTTCGAAAACATATTTAGCCATCTAAATGCCAAAAATGTCAAAAACACGTTTTTGGGAATGTAAAAAAACAATTTAAAATGTTCAAAACATTTCAGAACTTTCCAAACAGATTAAAGCAAGGTCTAAGAATATAAGAAACCACATTAAATATTTTTTTTATTTATTAGTTATTTGTTATTATTTTTAGAGCATAACTGGAGGTAGCAGTCAAAGCCAATCTACAACTACCTTTTCAAGGTCTACAACCTCCTTTCATAGTTAATGTTTTGTATGATTTGGTTGTGTTTAATATCTCTGGTACTACTTAATTTTTAAATAAAAAACAGTTTTTGTATGTTCTTAAAAAGTATTTTATTTACAATTAAGTAAACAAGTAAAGAACCTATTTTAACCCTTAAGTAAAATATACCTAGTTAAATGGAATATAAATATAAAATACTGGTCTATATTTTTAGTTACTGCGTAGTTTGTTTCATTAAAACTAAATATCACTATTAACATTGTTTTGGATAACATAAAACTATTCAATAAATACTGTCTTATTTTAAAAGTCTCTCCTTATGTTGGTCATGATAAATTATAGTTCTGTGATTGTACTATGTAATTATAATATATGTGTATATATTAGACTGGGCCAAAAAAATCGAAATTTTTTTTTAAAAGTATTTTGAAAATATGGTTTGGGGTGACAAAAAAAATTATTGTGAAATTTTCAGTCCATAATATTAATATTAAGAGCGGCCATTTCAAGCGGATGGACGGGACAAATCGCAAAACTGTTTTTATAAAAAAAATTGTAGCTAATTTATTATATATTATTTTTGCATCAAAATTGTCAAATATATTCTTCTATTATTAGGGTATACATTAAATAAAAAAAATCGCAAGAAATATTTTATAAAACTAGAGATAATATCAATAATTGACAGGGATGGACGGGACAAGATAAATCTTTTTTTTGTCCCGTCCACACCTTTTAATTATTAAAATTATATCTACTTTCATAAAATATTTCTTGGGTTTTTTTTAATTTAATGTATAACCTAATAAAAGAAGAATATTTTTGACAATTTTGATGCCAAAATATTATATAATAAATAATCTACAATTTTTTTTATAAAAACAGTTTTGTAATTCGTGCGTTTCGCGCGCTTGAAATGGCCGAGAGGTCTATCGCAATTTTAAATTTTTTTTCCTGAGTGAGTTTTTGTCTCAGAACTTCCAAACCATTGAGTTTAACAAAATTGACTCAAAAATATTTTTTTAAGGAAATTGAATGCTCTACAAAAAAGGTTAAAATGAAATTTTCTGTCAGATGAAGCGTTTCCTTAAAATCATGCCTTAAAAATTGGTATAGTTTTACATTTTGATCTTTTAATTTTGTAATTCCTGTAAAAATCAGTACCCGAAAAAAAAACGATGAATATTCTTATGGGAAATCAAATGCTCTACAAAAAAGTCTCTTAACATTTTTGCCTAAATTCACTCAATCAAAAGTTATTCAAGGTTAAAGTTGAAGTCAAAACAAAATTCTTGTTTTTTTCCTCTGTAGATTTATTTTTTTATGGATGATACTTTGATTTTTTACAAAAACAACATGATTGTTATTATTTAAAAAATTAAATAGGTAACAGTGAAAATAATATTTTCTGAAGAAAATAGCGAAAAAATTCGAATGTGTTAGTTTTTTTTAATTTTCAGTAATTTTATCAATAACATAAATATTATCATCGATAAAAGAATTCAAGATTTTAACTGACCCAAAAAAAAATCTAGAGCGGAAAAAACAAGAATTTCGTTTTGACTTCAAATTTAACCTTGAATAACTTTTGATGGAGTGAATTTAGCCAAAAATGTTAGGAGACTTTTTTTGTAGAGCATTTGATTTCCCATAAGAATATCTATCGGTTTTTCCGGGTACTGGTTTTTACATGAATTACAAAATTCCAAAGTTAAAATATCAAATTGCAAAACTATACCAATTTTTAAGGCATGATTGTAAGAAAACGGTTCATCTGACGGGAAATTCCAATCAGACCTTTTTTGTAGAGCATTCAATTTTCTTCAAAAAATATTCTTAAGTCAATTTTGTTAAACTCAATGGTTTGGGAGTTCTGAGACAAAAACTCGCTCAGGAAAAAAAATCTTAAATTGCGATGGTAGACCTCTTAATATTAATATTATGGACTCAAACTTTCACCATATTTTTTTCTCACCTCAAACAATATATTTGATATACTTTACAAAAAAAAATAGTCGATTATTTTTACCTAGTCTAGTATATATTATATTTTATTTATTGCGATTTTTCTAAACAAAAAGATTGTTTAATTTTAAATTTGTCTAGATTATATCATGATCAATTTTTTGCTCTCTTAAAACTGTATCAATAGTTTTATATACATTTTCGGGTAGATGGTCTAAAAGCATTCTAGGCATTGCCTTTACTTCCATGAAGTCTTCAGCTGTGGCCCATCTCATCTCATAACTGGGACCACCTGTTCCTGCTTTCCTGTAAAAAATTATAAAATTTTATAAACCATCAATTTTAAACTCTTTTTGACAAAGTACCTTTCAGCTTTCGTCTTTTTCCTGCTAACAATATGTAAAATTCTTCCTGCTGTAAAAAGTCTAGCTTTTGAGAATCTTCTAACACTAATATCCCTACTCAAAAGTGCTGCTTCCTAAAATTAACAAGAGAATAAAAAAAATTAAATTTTTTTTTTATAATAGTAACTAACTGTTGATGCTGCCACAGTTTGCACCACTTCTCTCCCTAAAAGCGGTGATTCCCCAGATGGAGTGGTTTCGTCCCTCCAAGTAGACTCAAGGTCACCGGGTGGTACCCCGAAAAGCGCATATCCGAAACCGTTGAGTAAAATTCGGTACTGAAATAAGTTTTAAGAAATTCTGTAAATATTGGCATTAAAACATGGCTTCAATTTCACTGTTAATTTAATTAAAAAAAGGAGTTTTTTTTCAAGAAATTTTGGGAAAATGTTATACTTAATTAGCTGTTTGACAGTGTGGAACACTGGCAAATTTTAAAAGGGTTTAATCATAGATTATAGAAGAAAGTTAATTTTCTAGGCATCCTGTATTAAACTTGCATTACCTTTGGTAATTTACTGGCATGTAGGGTCTGTATGATTGACGTTCTTAAATTTTCAACGCTGTCCACCCCTAGGCGCATTATAAAATCATCCCCTACTCCAACGGTGAACACAAAACTCTCTGTTACTTTTGCGGCTTCCCTGCTTAGCAGACCAGCTAAAAAACAAGTTATTTTCATACAATGAACTGAAAATTGTAATTTAAATTATATGAAAATTAACTTTATACATTTATTATTACATCCTGCGGTTCATTTTTGAAGCACATATGAATTAATTACAAATTTATAAAGCAATTTAGGGAAAGGTGAAAAGTTAACCAAATCCATCAGGGTATCTTTTCAAATATTCAAAACCCCTATTTTACATTAATCCAGGAATGTTTGTGGAAAAATAAACTTGTTTTGCTCTATAAATAATTAATTATACGCATAATTTACCAAATTATTATTTTATTAAATTGTTTTTTTATCGAAATATTTTTTATCATGTATTTATCAATTTTTTTTTTATTAAATTGTTTTTTATTGAAATCTTTTTTATCTATTTTGCGTTCATAATGACTTTATATGATAATATTATAACACCGCTTTCGGTGCTGTAATGAGATACTTTATCCCACCCAAAATTTTGATTTTATAGGTTGGCTATAACAGCATAATATTTTGCATATTGGTTATAATATTTTTAGGATTTTTCTAGTACTTACGAGACTTTTCTGGCAATAAATTTCGTTTAACACCAAAGAAAATCCTTTTTTTCTTCTTTAACATTAACAGCCGCTTATTGTAAATAAGTTAATTAAGGACGGCATGGCGAATCGATTTTGACATTAACTGTCAAACCAATGACTGATACCAACTATCTAAAGTAAAATTCGACCAAATTAAATTAAATTAAGGTATAAAATTAATTTTTTTTATAGAATTTTTGCAAAATAGATAAAATAGCATAAAGAACTCATGTCATAAGTCCTTTTGTCGCACTCGTCCATTACAAATTGTCCGCGTGCGACAAAATGACGTCTTATGACATTAGTTCTTTATTATACTATTATTATCAAAATATTTTTTATCATGTTTTTTAATAAATTGTTTTTTATCAAAATGCTTATAAAATAAATTTTTCATGAAATTATTTCTTTATCAAAATATTTTTTTATTAAATTATTCTTTTAACACATTATTTTTTTTATAAATTTATATTTTTATCAAATTATTTTCTATGCAAATCAAAAGCTATTGATGACTGAAATATTATTTGATAAAAGATTTTGTCAATAAATTTTTACTGCATGTCAATCTTACAGTACAAAAACAAGTGATAAAAACACAATTTGATAAAAATTAATTTATTAAAAAAATAATTTGGTCAAAGAATTATTTGATAAAGAAATAATTTGATAAAAATTTATTTGATAAAAAATTATTTGGTGAAAAAATAATTTGATAAAAAAATAATTTATAAAAAAATAATTTGATAAAAGAAATAATTTAATAAAAATTTATTTGATTATAATAATTTGGTAAAAAACAATTTAATAAAAAATTTCATAAAAAATAAATTCTTAAAATTCTAAAAAAATAATTTTATAAAAAAATAATTTTATAAAAAAATAATTGGATAAAATAATAATTTCATAAAAAAATAATTTGATAAATTATGCATATATATAAATAATTATTTATAAAGCAAAATAAGTTTATTTTGCACTTTTAGTTTTGACATAAAGGGCGCCTCATACCGGCGCATTCGCCATTTTTGTAAATTATTTCGAACCTTTCAAAATTCAATAAAAATTTTTACTTACTAAAAAAAAATCGAAATAGTCATTAGTATGTTTTTGTAGCTGCGGAAAGGCTTTTTTCAGTTTTACCTATCAATATAGATAATATAGCCCAATATTTAATAAATCACTTACCAGGTGTAGAAAATGCATAAACCTTTATGTCTGGATATTTGTATCGTATTTTAAGGGCTAGTAGACAGCCAACCCCTGCGCCTAGGCTATGCCCTGTAACCAGTAGCCCATATTCAGGGTATGTGTTAAAGGCTCTTTCTAGTATACCCACTTCTTTAAGGGTTTTAGCTATATAGTTTGCACCTAAAAAATTATGTAATGATTTATTATTATGTCAAATTGACACCCTGTGTATTAAATTACCTATGGCAATTCCTTTGTGAGCAACTGTATCTGGAGGTAAACCTTCTGCTTCAAATTTCTCTGAGGACGCTGTTAAATCTGTAAAAATATCTCTTAAGGAAATCGAACCCCTAATCGCGATTACTATATTTCTTGTTTTGTGGTCTGCTATCACACAAAACGGCATCTAAAATAAAAAGTATAGTTATATATGAATTGTGTGGGTCATTTCATAAAGTTAATATTAAACCTGCATATTAGACTGGGCCAAAAAAATTGACTTTGAGTCCATAATATTAATATTAAGAGGTCTATCATTGCAATTTTAGATTTTTTTTTTCTGAGCGAGTTTTTGTCTCAGAACTCCCAAACCATTGAGTTTAAAAAAATTGACTTAAAAATATTTTTTGAAGAAAATTGTATGCTCTACAAAAAAGGTTTAATTGGAATTTCCCGTCAGATGAACCGTTTTCTTACAATCATGCTTTAAAAATTGGTAGTTTTACAATTTGATATTTTAACTTTGGAATTTTGTAATTCATGTAAAAATCAGTACCCGGAAAAAAACCGATAAATATTCTTGTGGGAAATCAAATGCTCTACAAAACAGTCTCCTAACATTTTTGGCTAAATTCACTCCATCAAAAGTTATTCAAGGTTAAATTTGAAGTCAAAACGAAATTCTTGTTTTTTCCGCTCTAGATTTTTTTGGGTCAGTTAAAAATTTGAATTGTTTTATAGATGATAATCTTTATGTTATTGATAAAATAACTGAAAATTAAAAAAAAAAAACACATTCTAATTTTTTCGCTTTAAGAAGCTATTTACTTTAGAAAATATTATTTTCACTGTTACCTATTTAATCGTTTAAATAATAACAATCATGTTGTTTTTTTATTGGAAATTTTTAATTTGTTATATAATACACATTTAAAAAGAAAAAAATCAAAATATCATCCATAAAAAAATAAATCTACAGAGGAAAAAAACAAGAATTTCGTTTTGACTTCAACTTTAACCTTGAATAACTTTTGATTGAGTGAATTTACCCTGTTGTAAATGACCGATTAATTCCTGTAGAAACCAATTGAAGTATTGGTTGGTATCAATGGGTCTGAATTGGACTTACTGGATTTAATTGGGCGCGATATAAAACAGAAATTGGTTTTTACTGGTATTTTCCATAATGGAAAATACCAGTTAGGATTCTAATGGTTTTTATTGGTTTCGATTGGATAATGCTACCTATAGGTAATTTCCAATTGAATTCAATTGGGCATTCCCAGTGTAAGATTCGAAAAATCTGCTAATTGGTTATTCCCAATAAAATACAAATATCGCAAGAGGGCTCTCGTGTAGCTGCGCAAAATCAACGAGGTTGAGACGCCATCATAAAGAAAAAACAACAAGTCTTTGGACTCCATTTATTAGCGGTTTATGTTATTAGTCGATTTCAGTGTTAAGTGCATAGTGTTAGTAGTGTACTTATATATTAAAAAAATGTTTATATGTGTAAGATTTAGGGATTTAGGCGATAGTAAGTTTTATGTATTAATACATACATATATCACAAAAAAAAATAATAAAGAAATAAAATTACTCAGTAACAATAAATTTTTTGTCTCTTCTGTAAAAAATGAATTCTGGTTTTTACCCGGTTATCCTTCTGGGATCTAAAATTATTTTTGAATGAAAAATAAACTGGTAGGTATTTTCTAATCCAAATTTTAAAAAATTAATTGGTTTAAATTGGTTGGAATGGGTTTGGTGCTATGAATTACCAATTCATTCCATGTGCATTTCTATTGGATTTAGCCAATAGAGACAAGCGTAGGCATGGATTGATATTTTCCAATTCAAGCCGCTGACTTCATTGGAAATTACCAATAGGAATTCAACTGGAATGAATTGGTGATTTATAGCGCTAAAACACATTTCAAACCAATTCAAACCAATTACTTATTTTTTATTGGATTCTATTGGTATTTTTCAATTCAAGCTGCTGACTTCATTGGAAATTTCCAATAGGAATTCAACTGGAATGAATTGGTGATTCATAGCGCCAAAACACATTTCAAACCAATTCAAACCAATTAATTATTTTTTATTGGTTTCTATTGGTCATTTACAAAAGGGTAGCCAAAAATTTTAAGAGACTTTTTGTAGAGCAATTGATTTCCCATAAGAATATTCATCGGTTTTTTTTTCGGTACTGATTTTTACATGAATTACAAAATTCCAAAGTTAAAAGATCAAAATGTAAAACTATACCAATTTTTAAGGCATGATTTTAGGGAAACGGTTCATCTGACGTAAAATTTCATTTTAACCTTTTTTGTAGAGCATTCAATTTTCTTAAAAAAATATCCTTAAGTCAATTTTGTTAAGCTCAATGGTTTGGGAGTTCTAAAACAAAAACTCAAACTTTCACAATAATTTTTTTTGTCACCCCAAACCATATATTTATAACATGAAACCCATATGGATGTCTTACCTCATACACGTGATTTTTGAACGAAGCAAATAAGATGTCGTCCTCCCGGATCTTGCTGATCGTCTTGACGCCCGCCAGATGGCACAAGCAGCAATTATCGTCTATCACAATAACGTTCTTTTGCCGAAAGCACGAGCAACACGTTGCCTTTTTCATCAACCTGAACAGCCCAGTACCGCAGTACCTGTACATGACGAAAGGCCAGCCGTAGGCCGCAATCGACAGGCACAAAAAGTGCCGCGCGTTCTCGAGGTTCATCCAGCGCGGCGCGACGGAAAAAACGCGCGTCAGGTCGCAGGAGTACTTCGGCTCGTCGTCCAGCAGCATCTGTATCCTGCGCATCTCTCGGGTTTCCCGTTTCTGCTTCACGCGCAGAAGAACGCACCCCGCTAAGACGTCGCTGGGCACCAAGTCGGTGCTCCGGAAGAGGGAGCTCAGCAGGCCGGCCACCTGTTGAAACGCTTCGTGACCGTACTCGTCTGAACCCACCTTTAAAGTAAGAAAATGTTTTTTGGAGCATACGGTTAAAATTTGCAATACATTTTAGAATTTATAGCTTATTAACATCCTAAAATTAAAAATTAATAGCATTCTTTATTTCCAAATCAATTTAAAATTTAAAAAATTTAAATTTCTTTCTATTTTCCTGATAATTGAAAGATCTCAACTGTTATATTAAATATTTGTGATGAGTGGTACGTCTTGGAAATAATAATTTTGTGATAGCTGTGTTTTTAGATTTTACGTGCATTTAAAACTGTAGATAGGGATCTATTGTTGTTTAAGTTGGAAAGAATGGGATTAGGAGGTAGTGTTTTAAGTTGAAATAACTCTTATTTAAGTAATAGATTTCAAAAAGTAAAATATAAAAATGTCTCATCTGGACAATTAAAAACTAACTATGGTGTGCCACAGGGCACTGTACTTGGTGTACAGGTTTGTAAGTTACATAATATACGTTACATATATATTTTTTTTCTTCTCGTTTCTTGTGAAAATATGTTGGTTTGTCATGTTTTAAGAGCCCTGTCAAAAGATCAGCACCATTAAAAAATTTTTAGGGGTCGCTCAAGATTTTTAAAAATTACCAAAATCGCCAAAAATTGGATTTTTTTTTTATTTTAATTTTTTTTCTCGTTCCGATATTATTTTTCAATTTAAAAATAGTAATGATTCTGAAAATTTCAAATCGATATTTTAATTTCTAAAGGTCGCTCAAGATTTTTTTAAATTTCAAAGTAGAGTATTTTGAATGTTTTCGAGCGACCTCTGAATATAAATATCAACGAACTTTTAGCGACCTTTAGAAATCAAAATATTGATTTGAAATTTACAGAATTTTTATTATTTTCGACCTAAAAAATAATATCGAGACGAGAAAAAGAATTAAAATAAAACAAAAATTCGATTTTTGACGATTTTGAAATTTTTTAAAAATCTTGAGCGACCCCTACAAAATTTTTAATCGAGCTGATATTTTGAAAGGGCTCTTAAAACATGACAAACCAACATATTTTTACAAGAGACGAGAAGAAAAAAAATATTTTTTTTTTTTTGGCCACCCTAATGTATTCTTGGCTTCGTGATAATAATTTATGTTTAAATTTTAGTTAATTATAAGTTTGTTAATAATGAACAAAATAAATAAATTTTATAAGGCTAGTAGGTAACTATTTTAGTATGTCAACTACAATTGTATTATATAAGTATATTATAGCACCACACTTATTATTATTGTTCCTCTCTATTATTTCTTTTAAATGAAAATGAAAAAGTTTTACAAAACAAATTTATGAGAACTATAGCAATATATATATAATATATATATATTGCAGTGTAATAGATATAAGACTGGGCCAAAAAATCGACTATTTTTTTTTTATAAAGTATATCGAAAATAATGTTTGGGGTGACAAAAAAAATTATGGTGAAAGTTTGAGTCCATAATATTAATATTAAGAGGTCTATCATCGCAATTTTAGATTTTTTTTCCTGAGCGAGTTTTTGTCTCAGAACTCCCAAACCATTGAGTTTAACAAAATTGACTTGTGAATATTTTTTTAAGAAAATTGATGTTCTACAAAAAAGGTTTAATTGAAATTTCCCGTCAGATGAACCGTTTTCTTACAATCATGCCTTAAAAATTACTGAAAATTAAAAAAAAATAACACATTAGAGTTTTTTCTCTCATGTTGTTTTTTTATTGGAAATTGTTAATTAGTTATATAATACACATTTATAAAGAAAAAAATCAAATTTTCACCCATAAAAAATAAATCTATAGAGGAAAAAAACAAGAATTTCGTTTTGACTTCAACTTTAACCTTGAATAACTTTTGATTGAGTGAATTCATGAATTTAGCCAAAAATGTTCAGAGGCTTTTTTTGTAAAGCATTTGATTTCCCATAAGAATATCCATCGGTTTTTATGGGTACCGATTTTTACATGAATTACAAAATTCCAATTTAAAAGATCAAAATGTAAAACTATCCCAATTTTTAAGGCATCATTTTAAGGAAACGGTTCATCTGACGGAAAATTTCATTTTAACCTTTTTGTAGAGCATTTAATTTTCTTAAAAAAATATTTCTGAGTCAATTTTGTTAAGCTCAATAGTTTGGGAGTTCTTAGACAAAAACTTGCTGAGGAAAAAAAAATTAAATTGCGATGATAGATCTCTCAATATTAATATTATGGACTCAAACTTTCACAATAATTTTTTTTTGTCACCCCAAACTGTATTTTCGATATACTTTTCAAAAAAAAAAATAGTTGATTTGTTTGGTCCAGTCAAGTGTTTATACAAACGTATAAACATATGTAAAGATTGCTATAAACGATTTATTTATTTATTATTTAAATTTTTCTTACCCAACAAAAAGCCCATCTGAATCTCCTCTGCCACACGCTGGTATTTTTTCTGTGCCTCAACGACTCCCCAGCGCTGGGCGTTTCGTGTGCCTCATGGTACCGGGACGATCCCAACGGATCGAAAACCAAAGCTAACCCAAAAACGGCCAGACCGAACAGGGCCCAGTTAAAAACTACCAACGCTGCAACAAAAAGTTATATTGCTTTGTTCGCCGGTCGAAGAATGTTGTGTACCTTCAATCACAGTCCTGGAAAAGTGCCCTTCGTAAGGGCAAACCACGAGGTCGCTGCAAAAAGCCCACATGGTTCCGAAAACGTTCAAAACGGTTTCGGGGATGATCAAAAAGAGTTTTAACAGCAAAATTGGCGAGACTGCCCTTCTGGCGTCCAAGTCTGTTATGGAACCTTTCGCGCTTCTATTAACCAATGCCACAAGAACCAAAATTACTAAGGACAAAAGAACCATCATCCCAATTATGTAGGTCCGGACGTAATCTCCGCCTTTGCTGCATTCCCAGGTGTATTCGTAGTATTTCAGATAGACGCAAACTATTAAAATCAGCCTGCAATTACAAAAAAATGACTTGGTCAGCGCTGCTTGTATTTAGGTTTAAGGCTTTTATACAGGGTGTCTCTAAAAAGGTCTGTACAATGTTTAATGACGGACTACTGACGACAAAATAGATCCATTTAAGCAAAGTTAGTTATACCTAAGTATATCCGAAATTGCTTCGTTTAGCCGGTAGAGGGAGTCAAAGTGCATTTCATGATTTAAATACACTGCGCGTCACAATTAACGCATACCTATAAAATAAGTAAAAAAAAGTAAACTCTAAAACGCCTTTACTAATCTTTAACTTACTTATTTCTCAGTTTACGTGTTCGAGGGTTTTTCGAGAAAATATTTTTAAAGCCCTTTTATTTAATAATAAAAAAAACGTTTGAAAAATAACTTTATTAATAATTTTTTTAAGTAAATAAAAAATATGCTCAGCATATTGGGTTGGGACAGTTGAAATTTTCAAATGAAATTTTCCCAACCCTAGCTGTAAAAGACCGTATTTTAGTTAGTATACCCTACAAATTTTGTACTAATCAAACGAACAGTAACGAAGATACAGCGCTTCAAAGTCGGTAAAAATTATTTTGCTGAAAAGTGGTCATTTTTGAAGACTTTAAAGCGCTGTATTTTCGTTACTGTTTGTTTGATTTGTACAATATTTTCAGGGTATACTTAAAAAAATACGGTATTTCACAGTATATTTTTATTTACTTAAAAAAAATTTTTTTCGATCGTTTTTTTATTATTAAATAAAAGGGCTTTAAGGATATTTTCTCGAAAAACCCTTGAATACGTAAACTGAGATAAAAGTATTTTTATCCAAAATTTTAAAAAGATTGGTAAAGGCGTTTTAGAGTAAGAATTTTTTTAACTTATTATGCGCAGTGTATTTTAAAAATTGATTGTCAAATTGAGTTTTTATTGCTAAGTAGTCATAAATTTAGTAGGTGGGTCAGAATTTCTCAAACGGGCCACCTGAATTAGGTCAAAATTAGTTTTTGATTGTAGATACATTTTTTCGATAGTATTTTACATCACTAACACAAATCCTAAAGGATTTTGTAAAAAAAAAAATTTCAATTGACATATTCATGATATTAAAAGTAAAAGTTTTTAGTAATTAAAAAATAAAAAAAAATCATTATGGCTAAACTAATTATCCGATTCCAACGATTTAACTAGCGTTGGAATCTTGTTTTGACATAGATTCTTTGTTATTTTTTTCAATTGTACAATTTTCATTTAGGTCGATTTTTTTTTGTTTTTTTTATAACAAATTCGGAAATAATTGCCTTCTGCGCCAGCTATCGACTCGAGAAAAAAAACACATATACTCCAATCATTTCTGGAAATTATGCTGCTGAGAAAAAAAATGGCCCGCAGGTTGACAAAAAGTTATTCGTCCTTTTGTGGCCGCGCGCGGTGTCAGCTCACGCTCCGAACCGTCTACGCTGTACGCGCTTGTGACGCGACGTCTTACGGTGGTCTGGAACCTGCGGGCCATTTTTTTTCTCAGCAGCATAAGGTACATAATTATTTAAAAAAATAATATTATTATTATATAATATATAAAAATAGCAATTATTTAACATACAGTATTGTGCAAATTAATGTGAACACAAATAGATTTACGTTAAATAATATTTATTGAAAAACAAAATACAAACATTACTAGTTTATAAATATCTTAGTATTATTTATTAGGAAATTTTGGCCTTTATAAAAGCTTCAACTCGTTTTGGCATAGAATTAATCAATGTTTTGCAATTTTCCTTTATTTTGTCATCTCGAAACCATAACTCAATCATCTTATTTTTTGTTGTATACAACATATATCGATTTCATTTTTAGCCCTTGCATATAGCCCACAAACTCTCAATAGGATTAATGTCCGGTGAGTTTACAGGCCAGTCTAGAAGGATTACCTTTTTGTCCTAGTGTAAATTAATTAGACCAGTGCAGAAGCCTTTAAAAATGGTAAAAAGAGAAAAAAAATAACAGTAGGATGAAACCCATTGGAAAAGGAGGGGAATATAATAAAAATTAAAGGAAAAATAAATTACGGGCGATCTGAGTTCGGGAAGTGGGAGGGGGGGGTTTTAAGGGTAAAAAATGGTTTATCTCGATTTCCGGCAAAACTACAAGTCCTATGGAAAAAAGTTAAATGTCAAAGTTGTAGGTAATAAAAAGATCTACAACTTTTGTATTTACAATTTTTTCACATAACCTCGAATTTATGTGAAAAATTCAAAAAACCAAGTTTTTGGTTTTTTATTTTTCTTTTTAAAAAAAAAAATTTTTTCCACGAAATTTGCTGAAAACTTACCTTTTTATGTCCCAAATACACTGTAATTTATTTGATTTGAAATATTTATTATTTCGCCTTATTTTGACTTAATATCAAAAAAGCACCCTAATTTTCAATCGAAAATTCTCGCGTCAAAATATCAGCTTTTTTTAAAAAGCCGGTGTGCTTTTTGTTCGATGAACTCTCTACTTTCTGATGGTGTAAAAAAAAATATACATTACTATGGTAAATGTTCTCAGAAAATACAAAAAATATTATAATGAATAACGAAAAAAACTCGAATTCGAAAATTTCGTGGAAAAAAATTTTTTTTTGAAAAAGATAAAAATAAAAAACCAAAAACTTGGTTTTTTGAATTTTTCACATAAATTTTGAGGTTATGTAAAAAAATTGTAATTACAAAAGTTGTAGATCCTTTTATTACCTACAACTTTGACATTTAACTTTTTTCCATAGGACTTGTAGTTTTGCCGGAAATCGAGATAAACCATTTTTTACCCTTAAAACCCCCCCTCCCACTTCCCGAAGTCAGATCGCCCGTAATTTATTTTTCCTTTCATTTTTATTATATTCTTCTCCTTTTCCAATAAGTTTCATCCTACTGTTATTTTTTTTGGTTTCAAAAATTATCGACCCTGGTCTAATCGTTATTACTAATTACGAGGTTCTGAACGAGACTCTTACCATAATATTCTGACGGATACCTCGAAGAGACCAGGAAAGACGAGGTCGTCGGAGGCGGCTAGCCATTTCCTGCCGAACAGGCGAAGAGCCGGCATACCGCCAGTAGCCGCGCTCCTGCCGTTTCTGCCACCCTGCTCGCAACGCTGTCTACGCCCACCTCGATCTTCGATTCCGAATCCCGCTGACTGACTGCCCTGCCTGCTATCTATCTAACGGCCTCTGCCTGCCTGACCTCCAAAGTCGCCTCTGAAAAATTAAGGGGATTTCAGAATAAATTACGCTGTCAAGATTTAAACTTTATCTCGTAATTTTGCAGGAATATACAGGGTGTTGTGCGTACGTACTAGTATTTTTACTCTTGAATGCCTTTTAGATTCTTACATAAACCTTTAGTTATCCTTTGGTTAAAGTCATATTTTAAATGACGCCCATTGTAATTCCTATAGTTTTATGCCACATAAAAAAATATAATGTTACCTGCATGATGGTTGTTAAATTTAAATGACAGTAGAAAGGTTTAATTGATAAGGTCAAAACTAGGGCAATTGCGAATAATGGCAAATTTAAAATGACAGCTTTTTACTCTGCACCTTAAGAATCTTTATAGAACATCTCTGACTTTCCTAGGCAGTTTAAAGCTTATAATAGCTTTTTTGTTCATTTAAACACAATACAGGGTGAGTTTTAAGTTGACGCGTTCCTTTTAACAGCGTGTAGAAATCAGATAAACAAATAAATATTTTAAGTAACTTTTTTTATCAAAACTCAAAAATAAGAGAGTTATAGGCCTTCCAAGTTTAATTAAATTTTGAGCCGGTCCTGGCTATTGTTAACAAAAAACATAACCATAAAAATAAAAATAACAAAATAAACAATGCAAAATGTCATCTATGACCATAAACATAACCATTTAAATCAAAATGACATGTAGCAATGAAAAATGTCAGTTTTTTTGTGCCTCAATTATTGTTAAAAATGGCTCATAATTATAGCAATAATGAATTAGTGGAAATGTTACTAATTTATGGGGAGTGTCGTCAAAATGCAAATGCTGCAACTTAAGTAAATAATGACATTTTTTATTGCAAAATGTCAATTTTATTTAAATGGTTATGTTTGTTGTCAAATATGACATTTTGCATTGTTTATTTTGATATTTTTATGGTTATGTTTTTCGTTAACAATAGCCAGGACCGGCTTAAAATTTAATTAAACTTTGATGGGCTATAACTTTTTTATTTTTGAGTTTTGATAAAAAAGTTACTTAAAATATTTATTTGTCTAGCTGATTTCTACATACTGTTAAAAGGAACGCGTCAACTTAAAACTCACCCTGTATATATAATAAATTTGTTTTTAAGTATTTTTTGATAATCCATTTCTATTAAACAAAAATTAATTACTTTCTGTCTAAAATTGACAATTGCAGATTATGAAATTTAACATATTTTATTTGTTTTTGCATTTTTACCTCCTATTTTGTTTTATTACATAATTGCCCAAGAGTCCGGTCTCTACTTAATAAGTAGTACTTATAGGTGCTAAATTGATCAAATTTTATAAACCTGCATTTAATAATTTCATGAAACTATAACTTTCACGAATACCGACCACCCATGCCTGCAAGAAAGCCTGCTTTTGTTTTTAAAAATTACATCAACAATTCCGCCCATATTATTGGCACAGATTAGTCATATTTTATGTAAAAAATAAATTTTCTTGTAAATCCTTAAACCTGAAAATGCATCAAAAAATTAAATCACCTTTTTTTTGTCGACTGCGGAATAAAAGCCTTTTTAAAGTGCATATCAAAAATAATCTTTTGAATTTGGGTCAAGTGCACTTGACTGAATTTTATACTTTTTTAGTTTTACTACATATTATCGCAAAATTAGTTTCTGGAAAATTTTTAAAAGGAATTATGGTAAAATTTTGTAAAGGAATTATTAAATCCTTTGAAATATCTTAATAATTTTACCAACATTCTATTTTTCAAAAGACTAAAGTCTATTCAAATCCAAGCTGGACTCACAATCCGAGTCACACCATCAGAATCGACCAATAAGAACGAGTTATCATGCGTCTGGGCGTTTTTGTTTAGTCCAGCTTGGATTTGAATACACTTTAGGTATACAGGGTAAGTTTCAAGTTGACGATTTTATTACCACTACACACTGGGGCAGCGACCTTCAAAACCAGTTAGAAATTAAGGACAACCATTTTACTTCTCTTTTGTAAAATATAAACCTTATTCTATCAGGCTGTCAACAAACTGTCAAATGTCAATTATAAGGTTAATTTTTCATAACCCACAAATTTACTATACCCATAAATTAACCTTAAAATTGAAATTTAACAGTTTGATGCCATGAAAGCAGTTTTAGTGAATTGTAACAAAATATATGTGGGAGGATGGTAAATAAATGAAATAAGAAAAAAACGAATTAAAAAGGAAAATAAGTATAAAAAAAGTGACAGTGATAGAAAATTTAGAAATTATTATTGAAAAACACTATAATCTATAGAAAAATATTATACACGGAAAAAAAATGCGTTAGTTATTTTTATTATATGTGTTTAGTTAAAAAAAATTGTTATATTTATCGAAATTTATAATTAATTTTACAAAACCAAAAGGTTAATTTAATATTAATGTATAAGATTAAAAATACCTTAATGTTTTAATTGAAACATATAAATAGGTTAGTTCTTTTAATCAATTTTACAGTTATTGTAATTACAGAAAATAACAAAAATATTAAATTAAAAACAGCTGTAGTATTTAGTTATAATAACTAAATAGGTTTATAAAAACAACTATCTAGAGTTTGGTTAAATTCTGAAGGTTATTTTTTAGACATCTGCCCGAGAAAAGTTAACGAGTTTTACGTTGTTTGCATAAGTGCGGTCGTGATTTTTGTGATTTTTAGAATAAGTAAGTAAAACAATATATTATTTATAAAATTTAATGACACTCTCAGAGTAATATTTAAACATCTTGTAAATACAAGTTGTATATTTTTTCTTCCTAACTACTGTGATTCATAAATTTCAAGATCATAATAAAGGGTGTTCATCAGCTTATTTTCAGCACAATCCAAACAAGATCTGTTTGATCTGTTCGATTTTTTATAAGCCTGTTTACAATTATTGTGTTGTAAGTTTGTGCTTTTTATACAAATTTATGAACGTTGTTAGTTATTTTTTATTGGTTTTATCGAGAAAAACCGTAATAATTTAATAAATGACAGATCGAGCACATTGTTGTATGAATTGTGTACAACAATGCGCTCGATCTGTCAGTTATAAAAGTCAGTGTTATTTTGTCACAGATTAACATGTCTTTTGAGTTGATGAAAGTAAAGTTAACTAGTTGGGGACTAGTACATCTAGTTGAAAAATTTACAGGTGTAGAATATTTCATTAGGAAAGTAAATATTGGGTTTTTAAAGTAATAATTGTTTTTAGAAGAAGCAGTAGATGATGAGGCTTTTATTAGTCTTACTCCTGCCCTTATAGTCCGGTCAATCTAGACATTCGAAGGTACATAAATTTACAACAGGCTGAAAATCAGGAAAATTGTTTAGAATATAATTATAAATAAAATTTTAAAGTTCCCCATCATTCCCCTGTATGGAAAATTTTTTATTTAAGGTCAAAGGTCAAAAAAAATGATTTTTCGCGATTTTCAGCAAAACGGTAAGTTTTATCATAAAAATACACCAGACAAAAGTTGTAGATCATAAAATAATCTATAAAAAATGTTTCAATACATTTTTTTCTACGAGCCACCGTTTCGGAGATATAACGATTCGAAAAATTGTAAAAGTTATAATCGCCATAATAAGCACACGTTTATACGCCACCTATGAGGTAGTTTACTTAGCGCGTTTTTTACCTTGGTTTTCCCAGTAGGCCTTTTTCACGGGTCAGTTGTGATCCTGTATAATTTGAAACTATTGCAAAATAACGGAAATTAGCATTGATTGGAAAAGATAATAGCGATGTAAATTTAAAAAAGTACTGAAGTTTATTATTCGTAACATTTAAATTCTTCTTCTTGTTCTTCTTCTTGATTTTCTTCTTGTTCTCCTTATTCTTGTTCTTCTTCATCATCTTCATCCTTCGTTGGAATTAAATGAATCCTCCACTGTTGGTGATTCAACATAGAGCACGACCGTCCTTGACAATTCGTACATGGCAGAGAATAAAACAGTCCGACTTTTTTGCAACCACATTTAGCACTTGCAGTTGCAAAAAATTGTGTTCAGCAGTTTTTCCGGCGCAGGTGGGAGTAAAGTTTGAACTGGTTCTAATGTGTTGTTGACCAACTTCCAACCCCAGTCTGTAGGGTCTAGCTGATAACCAAGCCACACTTGAACTTGGTAATATAGCCGAAAAAGATGTTGATGAGCAGCAACTGAGGTTGGAGGAAGACAAGCTAATTGAACTTGTTTTTTACTTCTAGAATTTTTAACGAAACATGCATATCGATACTTATCAAAGCAGGTAGTTTTTTTAGGAGCTCCGTATATAGAAAGAAATCGAATGCCGTTGGTGATTCTTCTTGTTCCGAAGCACCTTTTCCTCGACTTAGGCCGAAAAATCTCCGCTCGTTCGAAAGTTAAGGGCAGACAACGGAACGTGCCAAATTTGACGGAAAAATCGAAAAAAAGTGGACTTGGGCCTTTTCGACACCGGAAAAATTTGGTTCGCGGATTGGTCTCGTGGGAGAAAAAAATCATGCAAATTTCAACCTTCAACGGCCTCCGAGCTACGGCGCTTAGAAAAAAAAAGGATATACAGACAACGGAAAAAATAAATATTGCAAACGGGCCGGATCCGCCGGAAACTTTTCGAACAGCGTTCTTTTTTTATTTTTTTCGATAAATATTCAAACGTTTTTTAGGGCGAGAGAAATTTTCGAAATTGGCCAAACGAAATACACGAATCGACGGGTAAAAGACCAAAGTTTGACATACTAAAAGATGAGCTTCATCGAATGAAAACTAATCGGCCAGAAGCCCGTTTAATTTTTGTTGGGTACGTATTTAAAAAATTTAACCAATTAAAATCCCCGAAATCAAATCGATAAGGTGGCAAATGACAGGTGGCATATGACAGGGACAAATGACAGGTGACAGATGACAGGTGACAGATGACAGATAATAGGTGACAGATGTCAAGTTAACAGTTGACAAGTGACTAATGACAGTAGACAGATAACACTTATAAGGTGACAGAAA